AACACAGAGATAGATGCCTGATGCTCAAAGCCCTCGGGGAAACCACGGTCTCCCAGCTGCAAGGGGATGCATCTCAGGCTACCCACATTCTCCATCAAATCCCCACATAATAATACAGGGCAGCCTGAGTTTCCTTCCTTTCTCATCTTGAAGGGAGTTAAAAACAGTGGCAGACATGTGGGGTCTGTGGCGGGGAGGTGGGGGTGCACAGGGGACATCGAGCTCACAAACACAGGACCTGGAAACTCTAATTACACGCCCAGATCCTCCTTCACTGGCCTCATTAGCAGCCATCAGCATGGCAAGGACGGCAGAGGAGTAATTTCCATCCAGTTCTTTTCATCGGAAGTGAGTGACAGCTGTGAAATTCCATCATCGGTGTGAAGGGCATATGTAAGCTGACCGATTCTTTGTGATGTTCCACGAGACCAGGACGTGCCGGCCACTGAAGCCTGGGGCAGCTCCAAGTTCTTTGTGTCACTAAGAAATGATGGGGCAACTTCAACACCAGGGTGCTTCAACGCCCAGGGTGTATTATACATATGCTGCTGTGGGTTAACTTTCCCTAAAAATGTGATCCATTCCAAACCCTCAGTACCTGTGGGCCAAAATCCAGAGCCGGCTGTCTTCATGACATGAGGGAAATGTGGACTCAGACACGGGGAGGAGCCCCTGGACAACAAGGCAGAGACTGCAGACGCGTCCGCAGGCCCAGGACCGCCCGGGGCTGGCAGGAACCAGGACCTGGACTCTCCCGAGTTCCCTCCAGAAACAGCCAGCCTGTCAATGCCTTGCTCGCAGACTCTGGGCCTCTGGAGCCCTGAGAATACAGCTCTGGTTTCAAGCCACCCAGACTGTGGTCATTTGTCAAGGCAGCCCTAAGGACTTGGATACACACACGTTGTCTCACACACACACATGATTAAAAAGGCTATGTGCATGCCCCAAAATTTTACTCTTTGGATTATTAATACTTTCATGGACTTACAGGTTCCCGACTGAGTTACCTACTTTTGCATTGCGGAAAGTGTTAGTCGCTTAAGTCGTGTCCAGCTCTTATGATCCCATGGACTGTAGCCCGCCAGGCTCCACTGTCCATGAGATTTTCCAAGCAAGAATACTGGAGTGGATTGCCATTTCCTATTCCATGGAGATCTTCCTGACCCGGGATCGAACCTGGGTCTCCTTCATTGCAAGCAGATACTTTACTGTCTGAGCCACCAGGTAAGCCCTGTGCATTGCTGATTCACTAATTATAAAAACACACATAATATTTAAATTCATTCTCTCACTTCAAACTGTATCTTTAAAATAATCTAAAGTGGATGTGTCAGCTATCTTTGCCACAAGAATAAAGTATCAACCAAAATGAATCACACAATGAACACACGACAGATGTCATTCTCTGAAAGTGGATGAAACCTGCACTCGGGAGAAGGTTGGGGATGTGAAAACAGAAGGCCCTGACCACCTTCTCCTTCTCAGCCATCTAAAGATCCCCACTGCCAAGGGTCAGAGTAACACTAAGGGATCATTGTTGTCGCTCAGTCGTGTCCAACCCTTTGCGACTCCATGGACTGCAGCACACCAGGATTCTCTGTCCATCACCATCTCCCGGAGTTTGTTCAAACTCATGTCCATTGAGTCAGTGATGCCATCCAACCATCTCATCCTCTGTTGCCCCCTTCTCCTCCTGCCCTCAATCTTTCCCAGCATCAGGGTCTTTTCTGATGAGTCTTTGCGTTCGGTGACCAAAGTATTGGAGCTTCAGCTTAAGCATCAGTCCCTTCCGATGAAATATTCAGGGTTGAATACACTAAAGAATTTTTACATACTAATTAAAGCAAAAGGACAGCCCTGTGCAGACAGGAGAAGCGCAGGGAAGCCCCAGTGAGCTGTGTGCACAGACAGAGCCCACAGCAGCACGCCTCCCACGGAAAGCTGCTCCCCCACGTGGGGATGGCAGTGCTTCAGTCCGGTCGCCGTGTAAGAGGCAAGGGGGACAAATCGGTAATCTTCCCTGGTGACTCGGTGGTCAAGAATCCTCCTGCAACGCAGGAGACCCAGGTTCGATCCTGGGTTGGGAAGATCCCCTGGAGAAGGGACAGGCTACCCACCCCAGTATTCTTGCCTGGAGAATCCCTTGGGCAGAGGGGCTGGAGGGCTGCCATCCACGGGGTCCCAGAAGAGTCGGACACGACTGAGCGCCCAACCCTGTCACGCTTTTGATAACAACGGCGAGGAAGTAGGAGGGTCTCACAGCGCACCCAGAGTCCAGACCCCTCAGCCCGGCACCCACCACGTAACACCAGCAGCTGTGCCCCAACCTGACCCTTTGCTACAAAAGGAGCCGCAGATGCAGCTGAGCTGTAATGGTGTCACTGACTTCCGGCGCCCCCCTGGAGAGGATCCCACTGTTCCCACCTTCTCCATAAACCTGGGTGGCGACATGGTACCTGAAAGCTCCAGAACATTCTGTGTTAAGCTTCTCAAGGAACCAAGCATGGGTAATTGGTGGATGTTAAGGCGTCCGGCAAGGATTGAAAACACTTTGCAATTACAGGTTCCTGGACCAGGAGCAAGGACTCTTTATCTGCCAAGGCTTTTCTCATGCACTTCTTTTCAGAAACAGCAAATTCTAGGCCCCTCCTGCCACCACGCGGGACTTGCCCCAGCACATGGATGTCAGTTCGCTGGTCTGAGAAGCGATGCAAAGATGCACCCACCCCGCCCGGTCCCAGGGTGGCGGCCCCTCAGAAACAGGGGTTCGTGGGGGGAGGAGGGGGCTAAAGACTTTCAGGCACCAGGGGGCATCTGCTCATGGTTCTTCCAGGACACAGAGGTCCTGATGCATGTCCATGGCGGGCACCCCTCTAGGCTGCTGGCAACGCCAAGAATAATCCCTTGACCCGGAATCAAACGGGGAGAGGACAGGTGGCCAGGCGGCAGGGCCAGCCCCTGAAGGTGAGAGCAAAGCTCATGGACACTCTCTCCCTGGACCCGGGAGCCCCTGGCACCAGCCCTGCTGAGGGGTGAGACACCTCCACCCTGCAGATGGAAGAAAGGACGTCCCGAGAGTGAACTCGAGATGCCTCCCCCCTTACAACAGAGGTATTCTGAAAATCACAGGACACAATGAAATTTGCATGTTAAGAAGTACTGCCTGAAAAGTGGAGGAAGTGGGGCTCCTAGGGGTCACGTTTAGGTCCCCCTCCTCCACTGGGGACAGTTTTACTTTAGACGCGCAAGCACGCAAGAGAAAGGCTTCCGAGTTCATCAAAATCTAAGGGTCCGCAACAAAGAAAGCACAGTGAAGCCCAAACGTGGTGGCAGACACTGAAACGGCAAAAGTCAGCATGATGACAGAACACACCACGGACAGGGGAGGGGAAGCCGGCCCCGGCGGGAGAGCCGGGGACCCCCACTAGCCACACCACACGCCACGTCGGGCAGAGGCTAGCGTGCGGCCGTGAACCTGGGGCCCAGACGGCGTAACCTCCAGGGCCCCGACCCCCAAGCGAATCCCGGCGTATCCCAGGGCCCACAGGCAGACTGGCTTGAAGGCAGGGTCATCAACCTGCACAGCCTGCCCCGAGGAATAAGTAGAAACCCAAGAAAAACAATCTCTTAAAAGACTCTGGGGTGTAATCCAGGTGACCACGGCTAAAACCCACACTCAGACGCAAAGGCACATGTACACCAGCACACCCTGAGTACAAAGGCCAGGAGAGGAGGAAGGGGGCCACCTTCATCGCCTCTCTACAGCACGCAACTGTCTAGCACCTGTATCCATTTTTCCGTGTCTCGGTATGCTTTTCCTCCTGACTCCCCCATCCAAGCCTTCACCCCTAATCTCCCTGAAATCATCGTGTCGATATGGATAACAAAAACGTGGCTTTTTCCCTCACGTGTCCACTGAGACTTCTGCAAGTCAAGGCAGAGCCCCAAACAAAGGTGGCCAGAGAATTCCACCTTCCACACACTTCTGAACAATTACGAGGCACCCAGCAACAAGAGTTAAATACTAGCACAGGTGTTACAGGGAACATGGGAAGCTACTGAGAACTACTGCTAAGAAGACATCTAAGGGACAAAACAGGGTGAAATGTTTAACTTAAAAAAAAAAAAAAGAAAAAACGATAAGATGAAAACAAAATAGGATGGATAACACAGAACGAGGAGGCAAGGGAGGGCTACAGTACAGAGTTGAGTCTCTCCTCGCTCTTCAAACAAGACAAGCGCTGCCATGAAGGAAATGTATAGTTACCTGCATCCATATCTGCAAAGAATGGAACAGCCAGTAAGAAAAAGAAGGAACCAGAAATTCAGTGTCTCAGAGTTGGATTTTTAAAAGGTTACACGGAGAGAAAATATAATTTAGAAAACGGTGTGTGTACACTCTAGCTGGATTTTGGGGACATGGAAGCTACCTGGTTTCCTAGCCTTACTACCATCGTTTTATTTAAAGTGAAAAACAAAATGTGGATATGTTAAACTGAAGAAGTAAAAGCCTTATGGCAAAAGAAATAGCTTATTCTCATGCAAAAATGATTATTCAATGTTTAGAATATAATATAAAAGGGCAAAACATACTCAAATGTATGGTGGTGGTCATCTGAAATACTCGGGTCTATGACTATGGAACAGTCCATACAAGTTATATTATAAACTCAACATCCAAAATGAAGACATGTCCAAGCAGTAATATTTAAAGGCATGACACTGGACTCATATGTGAAGGGACAGAACCACCAGGTAAGAGGCATATTTAACAGTATTCATGGTTTCACTCTATTGCTCCCAATGCCAAGATGAAGTTAACGTAACTGGTTGGCTGACAATACTACCGAAAAGCAACATAGCTATGGATTCCTACGGCTTTGTATTTTATTCTTTTTCTTGACATGGGATATGTGACAGTCATGATTTAGAATATGCTAACGAAAACCTTGGCCAACTAAACTCTCCTGAGCTGGAGACTGTCTGCCAAAAGAGCATACCTTCGGGAGACTCCTCCTGGACATACGTGCCGGTCAGATAGCGGTGCACCAGGGCCGACTTGCCGCTGGCCAAGTTACCCACAATGCCCTGCAACACAGAAACGGACAGTCACTAAAGAGCAGTCAATGTGCCACGCTCTCAGAGCCTGCAAACTCAGAGGGCTGGGACGCACAGCGATCCGAAACACCATCTCATTAAATTCTTCTCCGGGAGAAAAAGGGATTCCAGTGCCCTCAATTAATATCCACATCTCTATCAGTCTCCACAGCCTGAAGAGTCAACACGGTTTTGGACACACGTTGGTTGTGGCATTTTTCTAGATCCCATGAGCGCTGGTCACACAGGGAAGGTGCACAGTGAGTCAGCCCACCAATGTGTATCGGGGACCCTCAAAACTCTCAACAAGGCACAAACGAGGTTAAAGAGGACAGAGCGGCAGTACTGGGTCATAAAGAGAGGAGGGGACATCCCGATACACCCCGTCACGACCTCGGGGCAGGATCAGGAGTCCAGGAGGAGCAGTGTCCAGGAGGGACTGGAGGGGAGAAAGCCGCACCAAGGCAGGGCGGAGGTGGAGGGCTGGCCTGGTCTCTGGACACGGCGTCCCACACTGCAGGGCTGAGACGAGGCCACACCAGGGGCCCGCGGTTAAGGCGGCCGAGGCGTTCATCCTCAATGAGACGGGCTCGAGAGAGATGTGAGGGTCCACATCCCAGCAGGTAGGAACGCACCATCTCCAGGGGGCAAGGCTGGCTTTATCGCACCTTCCACCAGAGGCAGCTCCCCCGTGAACACAGCTGACATACCTGGACGCAGGGACCACCCCTCGGGACTCCCTCCCCCCTCTCGGGAGCTCCCCCTCCCTCTCGGGACTCCCCCTCCCTCTTGGGAGGTCATCCTCCCCTCTCGGGACTGCCCTGCACACTGTCTCCTCCCAGGAAGAGTCTGCCTCTCTCTCCCGCCAGCCAGGCCTCTGGGGTACACCTGTTCCCTCCCTGCTCACCCTGACACCTCCCCCCCCAAAGTTTTTGACCCTATGGCTTCAAAGACACTGCTCAAGGTCACCGACAACTTTGGTTTCTGAAACCCCCCACCTCCCCCTTGCCCTGACACAGCCCTTCACAGGAAGCGGTAGACGAGGTTCTCTTTCTGCAAACTTCTGCCCTGGGCTTCCTCTTGGAATTCCGTCTCAGCCACATGGGCTCCTTCCCTAGATTCCCTGGATTCTGGATTCTAAAGCCCACCCGAGGGAGCCAAGGCCACATCCCACCTCCTCGTAAGAAGCTTTGGATTCCCACAGTCATGCTTCAGCCCTGCCCCCATTCAGGTAAACACACACACACCCAAGGCTCTGCATGGACACACCTGACTATTCTCTCTCCAATTTGTTCAGCATCTTCTGTGACCACATCCTCACCCTGCCTCACAAACCAGACACCTGGAAGTCGTCTCCGATTCCCAACCCGCCCGGAGGACAGTTTGTGAGCATCTCCACCACCCCACGGGGAAGGCAAGGCGGTGCAGTCTGTCCACTGAAGCCTCCATCCACTGGAGCTCGCAACAGCCTTTAGCTTGTCACCCTGCCTGGGAGCTCCCGCTCCTCACCCCGAGAATACCATAGACTCATTACAATCAATGCTGCAAAAATGCGACGCCCTCATTTCACAACTCTTGGGAAGCCTCCCACTCTGGCTGCAGGCTGGAGTTCAAGAATTTCATGAAAAGATAACAAAGTGTCCCCTCCGCATCCTTACAACCAATCTTGCTGGAGGCACCCTGGCCAGGCGGGAAACACACCCACGCTTCACCCACCTGGGCCCTCCTGCTCTTCTTCACCCAAGAGTTTAGGATGGTCTCCGTGCGTCTCTGCACACCCGGCACACTTCACCCTGCTAGTGTTCCTGGATCTACCTCCCACCACATCAGGGGCCCCAAGACCAAGAACTGGGTCTTGGATACTTCTCTGCATCCCTACACTCAGTCGTTTCTGGTCCCAACAAAGTGCTGGGAAATATGGGATGTGTGGGTGAGTGGGTGGGTAGGTGAGTGGGTGGGTAGATGGGTGGATGGGGTGGGCGGGTGAGTGGTGAGTGGACAGATGAGTGGGCAGGAGGGAAGAAGGAGAAAGATATGTTGGCTGGTTGGATAAATGGATGATGGAGCCAGTAACTAGGAGAACAAATATATCCATAAAACAGAACACATATGACGTCGTTAAAATTCGACCTAAAACCCTGAACCCATCCTGTCCTCACCAGTCAGGGTCCTTCCGTCCTCAGCTTCCCCTTCCCTGCTTCACGGTCAGCGTGCCAGTGACCAAACCCCATGCTCAGCCTCACCGACTCTGTACACCTAGACCTCCCCCATCAATCACTGCCCGAAACAAACTCTTAGGCATGCATCAGCAAGCAGTTCAGATGTCACCTCCTCTGAGAAGCCTTCTTAATGCCACAGCCTCAAACAACGCCTCTTCCCAAAGGCCCCTTACCACCCTCCTCGCTTCACCGCCTGGTCTCTTACCTCTCTTTGCCCAAAGTCATACACTGTGGGTCTGACTCTCTCAAGTGTGTCTGGTTCTCTAGCTCCCAGCACGGCCCAAGGCAGACGCCTGCCGCCCCCACCCTGCCCCCACAACACTGGGCAGATAAATGAATGACTGACTTGACACCAATGAGTAGAAATGAGATGCTTTATCACTACGGCTCCAAGCTCCAGAGATGTGGACAGAACCTAAATAAAGCTGTTTCCTTCCTGATTGGACTCCTGTCTTCCCTCTGCCGTTGGGCCTCTATAATCTGAGAATTTTCACCTATTAATTATTCTTTTGCTCAAGGGCACCTGCTGTTTGTCAGCTTCACGCTGAGAAAATCCTAAACAGTATGCCACAGAATTGAATTTTTAATTAAGATTAGGCTGCTTCTTTCCCAAGGAGGAAAGTGCTCGAAATCAAACAATACTCAGTCCGTGTTTTCTATGTGTGAAAACACTCTCTCCTTCTGACACGTCAACGATTTGCAAAGAATTAACTCACCCCTTGCAAGGATCAAATCACTCGATCCCCCAACACGGGGCGAGGAGGGAAGGTGTTTTATTTGAACTGAATGGTCACCTCAGACACCTTATGTGTGCACACCATGGGCTTTATTTTAATTTGAAACACTGGCAGAAACTAACAGCCAGCTGTGAGGAAGAAATAAAACAGGGGATGAAAATGCTCTTTAAGCTGCAAAGCTGTGCTGGGATCTGTGAACGGCTCCTGGATATAAACCAGAGAAGATGGAATCGAGCCAGTCTGGGTCTCCAGGCTCGAGGAGAAGCAAGGTAACATGGGTAAAAGCGCCCTGAAATTTACAAAACCATGTGTTCTGGTGGCGACACGTGACCACCGTGGGCCTGGGCATCCTCGGGGCAGAACTGTCAACTGTCACTCCGCACGAGGCATCTTTCTAAATTGATTTCTCTACTGCCCACACTCCACTGCTTACCTGCTAAACATGGAGTTGGCTGAAAAGAAAATTGAGGCTTTTGGTTTAAAATCCCAGTTGGGAATTCAACGAAGACACACAAATAGGATGTGACAAGCTGCGGACTGATGCCCTCCTCTACGAGGCCAGCGATCTCACGAGTCCTTTCCTTCCTGCTTGGAGGTGAGCGGTCAGTACGTGCTGCCTATAGACGTCCACAGGGCCCCAAGGCTGGCTCTACGGCAGGGAGCCTCAGCGCAACCGGCCATTCATCATCTCCCCACCATCTACCCCACCTCGGGAAGCAGACAGCCTGGTGCTGCCCCTCCGGAAAAGGAAGCCAACACTAGGGAATCCCCTGGCAGTTGGGTGGTTAGGACTCGGTACTTTCACCGCCGAGGGCCCAGGTTCAATCCCTGGTCAGGGAGCTAGGGTCCTGTAAGCTGGACAATGGAGCCAGTAAGCAAGCAAGCAAACATTGACATTTTCCTCTCTGACAGGCTCCAGAAGATTTATGGTCAAACACGATATAAAGAGTCCATTTGAGGCTTGCTATTACATCACAGACCTGCTGCATTTCTGAAATGGAGTCAGGGTTCTGAGGGGCGCTGACCTAAGGGGCCACCTGTCCTGGGTGCCGTCCCAAGCAGGACACAATCACGGCCCTGTGAGCACACACAGAGGTTGCCCTTGAACAAAGGAGCGTTTCTTCAGATGCTGGGAATGCCTTAGCACAGAAGGGGTCTCCCGAGGAGGCTGGGCTGCCCACTGCTCCTCCCCGCAGCAGGAGGACGCCAGCGGGGGTCCTGGCCCACTCCACACAGCTGGGGGTTGGGGGGTGGCGCGGGGATCACCTTCCCCAGAAGAACTCCAGAATCCTTTGCATTTACTTGTCCATGAGATGCAGTCCACCCCTCCTGTGGATTCCAGCCAGCTTTACAAGAGAGTTCTGTTTCAGGATCGTAAATCCACCTGTTAACACGGCCACCCCACCCTTCCAGGCATTGATTCCAGAACACTGCACGCTTCGGAAATACCAGCAGAGAACAGGTCTGGGTAGGAGGCACCCTCAGTTATCATGAGCTGGTGTGTGGCTCTGGCAGAACCATCAACACCTTCAGTTCCCCAAACTGGGTCTAAACCAGAGGGTCTGATCCTCAGATGACACCTCACTCAGCTCCCCGACTCCACCAGCCACACTTCAAAGGCTCCATAGCCACATGGGGCCCACGGCTTCCACCTCGGGCAGCGAAGAAAGAGAACCTTTCCACGCTGCAGAAAGTTCTGCCTGCAGCGCTGATCAGACAAACAAACTCCGGGTTCATATCCAGCTCCACCTCGTACTAAAGTGACATTCGCTCAGTCATGTCTGACTCTTTGAGACCCCATGGACTACACAGTCCATGGAATTCTCCAGGCTAGAATACTGGAGTGGGTAGCCGTTCCCTTCTCCAGGAGATCTTCCCAACCCAGGGATCAAACCCACATCTCCTGTATTGCAGGCAGATTCTTACCAGCTGAGCTACCAGGGAAGCCCACCATGTACAAACTGGAGCTCTTTGGGCACCTTCTTTATTCAACTTTTTAATATTTATTTCTTTATTTTGGCTGCACTGGATCTTCACGGTGGTGCACAGGCTTATTTACTCCATGGAACACGGGGTCTTAGTTCCCGGATGAGGGATGAACCCGTGTCCCCTGCACCGCAAGGCAGATTCTTAACCACTGGGCCACCGGGGCCGTCCTCTTGGGTGCGTCTTAACGTCTGAGGCTCAGTCATCCGCTCTGCGAAGCGGGGACAACTCTGGACCCACTCAGGACTAAAGGCGGTGGCTCCCCCAGGCAGGTGCCCCGCGCCCCACACAGAGAGAGCACCTTCCTCATCTCAGCGCTGTTCCTCCTGTTTCACTCTGCCGGCAGAACCTCACCCCATTCGGCTGGCTCAGGAGGGCCCATCTGAAACTGGGTAACCTTCCTGGAAATCTCTTGAGTAGCATCTCTGGCTGCTGGCCCGAGACTGCTGACATCATTTCCTGACCGGGGCCCACAGGATTAGTCCTCTGCTGGGGACGTGTCTCAGAGCGCATGGGGCAGAGCGGTGCTGTCCCGCGGCTGGGCTTGTGGAACCCACACTTCTGCAGCGCTCTGGGACGGCGGGCCACGTGGTCTCCCCCAAGGAAGGCGTCACCGTGGAGGGTCAGATCTGGAAGGAGCTCACCTGCCGTCACCACGGTCAGAGTCTGTCCCATGAGATGTTTCAAACACAAACACACACACAAACACATATACATACATACACACCAAAAAAAAAACACCACATATACATACACACATACACAAACACACACACAAAAACACATATACATACACACACACAAACACATACACACACACACACACAAAAACACATATACATACACACACACAAACACATACACACACACACACAAAACACACATATACATACACACAAAAAACACATACACACACATACAAACACACACATATACACACACATACACACACATACATACATACACAAAACACACATACACACACAAACACACACACAAACACATATACACACACACACATCCTCCAAATGCTACTTATCACACAGCAACGCGGTCATTTAATAGTTCTATTGGTCCTTGCTTCCACCTTAACATGACGGGTGCAAAGTGCAGAGGGGCTCAGAGGTATGACTGCAACAGACTCAAGATATTTTTTATGTCAGTCTATTCCTAAGCTTTAAATCTCCAGGAGATAGTGGAGGACAGAGGGGCCTGGCGGGCGACAGTCCACAGGGTCGCCAAGAGTCGGATACAACTTAGCAACTGCACAGCAGACAAAGGTTTGAGTAGCCTCGCTGAATTATTAAAGTTCATAATGAGACCAAAGCTTTTAATTTCTCACTACTCCTTCGTTAACAGTACATAGTCACATTTTCTTACTAATGAATTACAATTATGACTTGATGGCTAGCACAGAGACTTCCCATGACGTCCTGCAAAGGACTAGTAAAGCTGTGGGTGGGTGGGTGTGTGAGAGACAAGCCGATGAGTGTCTCTCTCTCTCACACACACACACACACACACACACACAGACAGAATGGCAGGGGGGCACCCAGCCCTGCACACAGGCCATCTGCCCGGCCATCCATCATGACCATCACAGGCACCCTTGGGGCTCCAGCCCCAACCTCAGCCTCACCTGCAGCCCCTCCACTCCGCAGGACACACCAGACACACCCCTGGGCCCCAGGGGAGGAGACGGTCCTGGGATGAAGACTTGGGGTGCTCACAGGTCACACCGTGCCTCTTCCTGAGCCCACTCCCAGCCCCCCTCCTGCAGCTGGAGAAACAACCACGCTCAAGGCCAGAGTGACCACTCACCACTTTGAGCTCCGGGACAGATCGACTCAACGTCCATTCCTGGCTGTTCACGAAGGCATCTGTAAAACAGGAGGGTGAACGCAAGTCAGACGCCGTGACTGAACAGGAGGGCAGGGTCAGTACACCCCCAAGGTGCCACTTTTCAAACCGGAAGGACACAGAAGACAGTCCAGTCCCCAGCCTGGGATCACGTCCCCTGAGCTGCTGAGATCTGCCTGCCACACGCGGCTGTTCTGATGCCAATTCGTCATTGTCTGTAAACCTCATCACCCACCCTGACCCAAGACCGCCAAGTCCTGCCCCAGCCCTTTAGGACCCACACTGTCCTGGAAGTTCAGACCCTCCTGACCCTAAGTGTGGGCCATTGGAAGGACAATAGAGGCTCTGGCCTTTCTGGAACGGACCCTGATGCCACCCAACTTTGGGTCTCTGGGTTTTCCCTAAAATAACAGTAACTTGTGTGAAATTCCACCAACAAAGTTACAGTAGCTCATGACTGGATTTTGAAAATCCAAGTGTTTACAGCATGTTATGGTTTAGAAGACCTATGTGCTGGACTTCTGATCCTCAACGACACAACAGACACTGAAGATCCAGTCAGGACACTTCGGAATGATGTGTGATGTGTCGGAAACACCAGGGGTGCCCAGCCGCTCTGGGGCCCTCTGCAGGGCCCGGCCCCTCAGTCAGCACTCTCGGGGCAGCCTCCCCTGACCGTCTTGGCCTCTCACCCCCACGTGCATGGGTGGAGGTGACCGCCCCACAGGGAGGACCCCGACGACCTGATTCCCCGTGTCCCCCGCCTGCCATTTCCCTTCATGGCACCCCACCCTGCACCCCATCTGTGTACTTAGGGACGGACAGACGGAGCTGGTAATGAACACGGCAGCTACCCCGGAGACCACTGAGTGGGGGGCGAACATCTCTCCCTCCAAAGGGCCCTCGCTCTCTATGCCTTTTCTGAAAATTCCCCAATTCCCTCATGCTACACGATGACCAAATCACAAACGGCCTAAAAGTCAAGTAACGCCAGGGTTTCAAACAGAAGCCCGACTTTCTAACCCAACGGATGCAAGAACGGGGCGTCGACATACCCCGTTCAGCTCCACTGGGGGCGCCGCAGAGAAGGAACAGAAAACCCTTGGAGAAGACAGACAGTGACGCAAAAAACTAGACGCCACCAGCCCCGCCAAGACAGAGGCTGAGGTCTGCCGGCTCAGAGGTCTTCCTCACATCAGAGGAGGACTTCTGGGCAGAGAAGGATGGGATGGGAGGCGCCAGGAAGCTGGAAAGGGCCTCCGAGGCTCAGTTGAGAGCTGGCGGGGACAGGTGTCTGAGAGCAGAGATGCTGGACTCTGGGGACTCGAATGCCCAGGCAACTGGCAGAGAGTGAGCAGGCCCCCTGGAAAGGAGCTCAGAAGGAAAGATGCTCATTCAAGAAAGGGAAGGGCAAGGGCCACTGCTCCCTCCACGGAAGTGAGCCAGCTGGGGGCCTCACATTAATTTGGTACCTGCACACCCACTCTTTGGCCGGCGGGCACCACCCTAACGTGTCCCAGACAAGCTGTCCCTGCAGACAAGTTAGCCGTGGGTGCTCTAGTACAAGGCCTGCCTGAGCCCTCGTGTGCACTCAGCAAACAGTAACCAACGTCACACCCTCCCAGCAGTGAACAGTGTGATCAAAGAGGTCACCACTCACTCACTCTCTGTCATCAGATGATGTCTCAGGAAAATAGGAATGCGGATTGTAGGATTGGGGGTGGGGTGACTCCAGTGGTCCAAGGAAGTAGATGCCAGTTATTCCATCAACATGAAATACCTGTGCCAAGAATATCCCCCAAAGCCGGGCTGTTGCCATGCTTCTAACAACCCAGGGCTGGTTACGTGCACGTGGATACATTCCTGTGTTCATTCAGTCACGTCCAACTCTCTGAGACCCAATGGACTATAACTGGCCAGGATCCTCTGTCCATGGGATTCTCCAGGCAAGAACACTGGGGTGGGTTGCCATTTCCTTCTCCGGGATACATTCCTGTAAGGAAGGCTAAGTCGCCAACAAAGGCCTCAGTGCACCAAAGTGCAACCATCCCAAAGCCACAGTGATGCGTGTGTGTATGTGTAACACAACACAGCCTTGTCCATGCTGAGAACACCTTCAGAAGCATAAAAACCTCATAGTTGCTGATCTAGGGTTAAGGAACCAGCTTGGGGACAAGGTAATGAGACTTTCTTGTCATTGCCACCTTTCAGTACCCCTCAAATTTTACACCATCTGGCATATAAAAAAAAATTCAATAACACGGCTTTTAATACTCTTAATACAAAAACAAAGAAGGTAACATGGGAATTAAAATGAGCTTCACTCACGAATGCTCAGTGGATTTTTAAGCACATGTCACCAAAAGATTATGTTTATCACAACAAATATTACATATTCATAATAACTTAAGCAGGGCTCCATTAAATAAAAATGTGTAATTATATAAACACTGGAACAACGTGTGCGGTGCCTTAAATAAATCTTCCCTTGAGCAGAATACATTTGCCTGTGAGAACTAGATTAATAAAATTAATGCTTAATTTAACTGACCAGAAAAACGCATCATCCATTTTGAAAGATGTACTTTGAAAATGTTTATCGCCTCCATCATTGCCCGATCAGGACAGAATGCCGTCTCCAAAGAGGTTAAACAAAAAACGACAAAGATGCAGCAAAAGCGGCGCACGCCAGAGATTTCTACGTGCTCCTCCCCTATGGATCGGGGCCTTCCCAGGGCTGCGCTAAGCGGGGATGACAGAGTTGACAGCACATCACGGGGTGAGCTGGGTGGGGGCCATGGGGCCCAGACCAGCCGGCTGCCCTGTTTAATGTCATGATCTGGGCGTGGCTTGGAAACATTTCCAGACAGGAGGCAGAATGAGAGGAGAATAAAATTTATTAGAGTGAGAGACGCTGTTGAACAGTGGGCCAGCTCAAGGGAGAACCAATGTTGAACAGGGCTCCTCAGTCCACTTTTATGCCCAGGGTACAAGGAGTGGGACAGGGGGGTCTGGCAGGTCATTTGCTGATTGGATGAGGCATGTATACTGGGTTGGGGGAAGAGAAAGGCAGATACCTTCTCCCTTGTGGCTCAGCTGGTAAAGATTCCGCCTGAAATGCAGGAGACCTGGGTTCGATCCCTGGGTTGGGAAGAACCCCTGGAGAAGGGAAAGGCTACCCACTCCAGTATTGTGGTCTAGAAAATCCCATGGACTGTACAGTCCATGGGGTCGCAAAGAGTAGGACACGATTGAACGACCTTCACTACGGGTAGGAGGGGAGGTGGGTTATGCTGCTCAGGAGGACCTGAAACCCGTGGATAGTTAACGACAGGGAGGGAAGGACGATAAGGGTCTGGTTTTTCCCTTCCTGCATTCCAAGACCCTCCTTGGTCTTATCTGCTCTTCAGTCCCTGAGTCACCACATTTAAGTTCCATGGTGCAGCATCCCTTGAAGGATAAACACACACGCTTCTGGGGCACATACCCTGGAAGCCTGTGTGTGTGCCTGCAAACATGCGTGCAACGTGCAGGCGTGCTTGCAGGGCAGTTAGAATCCCAAGCCACAGAAGATGTGCCATTTCAGAAGGGGCCACTCTGAGCTTCACTCAACTGCCCCACTTAGAGTAGAATAATATTAAGAAAACGCATTCCCGCACACTGATGGACGTGCAGCTAATGTTGTTCAGTCACTCAGCCGTGTCTCTTTGTGACCCCATGGACCATAGCCTGTCAGGCTCCTCCGTCCGTGGGATCTCCCAGGCAAGGATACTGGGGTGGGTTGCTATTTCCTTCTCCAGGCGATCTTCCGAACCCAAGGATCAAACCCATGTCTCCTGTACTCGCAGGCAGATTCTTTACCACTGACCACTTTGAAAGCCCCTGGACGGGACTTTAGAATCCAACAGGGCTGGTGACCACTGATTGACTGCACTTAACCTGTGCCACCACGGCCTCTTTAGATGATGTCACGGGGGGCTGGCAGGGGCCCTGGCTGCAGTGGACCCTCGGTAACTGCCCAGCAGAGTTTAGGAAAGGAAGGTAGTTTGTCATTCCTTATCATTAACGCGGCTCCACTTCAGATTCCTTGTTACCTTTTCAATTTAAATCATTAACAGTGAAAAGAAACGCTCAAAGAACACCAAGATTAGGGAACTTAAAGTAACAGGGAACTTTTACCAGGAAGGAGAAGCCCGAACTGTCAGCGTCTTCAGAACAGAAACCTGGAGGCAGTCGGAGAAAGAAAGCGGCCTCCCCACAGGTGGTGGTCAAAGCGACGCACAGCACACAGAGGTGGTTACACGGAGGGAAGGGAAATCAACATGACTCAGCATGGGATGGGGGGAACGGCACGAACATCAAGCAGAAACGCTCAGCCCGGTTCTTCTAATATGCATGCATGCTCAGTAGCTCAGTCGTGTCTGACTCTTCGCTACCCCATAGAGCCCACCAGGCTCCTCTGTCCATGGGGTTCTCTAGGCAAGAACACTGGAGTGGGTTGCCATTTCCTCCTCCAAAGGAATCTTCCTGACCCAGGGATCAAACCAGCATCTACTGCAGCTCCTGCGTAGGCAGGCGGGTTCTTTACCACTGAGAAATGACCAAAATATCTGAAGTTGAAGGAAAAGACACCAGCTCCCCGCTGTCACCCTGGTATGCCCACGGGTCACACGCATGGCATGTTATTATTTTAGGACTTGAGAAAGGCAGTCCCTGCATAGCTAAACAGGGACAGCGGTAGAATTCCTGACCAGCTTAACTCTGTATTAACACAAAGTCCAGTGAAGGTCGGATTGGGGAAGTGCACTGTGACCACACAATTTACACTGGCGCTATGATGCCGGGCAAACAGGAAGCTGCCAAATCTGCACTTTCCAAGGAAAAGGTGCTTGGGGCTGGGACGATCAGTGCCGAGTCCCAAGAAACGTGAAATTCTCACTGTCTGGGTCATCCACGTACAGAGTTCTCAACAGTTTCCTTGTTTTTTTACATTCAACTTTCATTCATTTTAAGTCTTTTA